GAGTGTGCAAGGTAGCTGTGGGGCAAGAAAATACCTTATCAAGTCATGAGTCCTTGGCATCTAGCCCAGTGGCTACCATTGGAGGCTCTCAAAACAATATACGTTAAGAGAATAATCGTGCTGATCGTAAAAACAGAAAGAATAATACCAACACATAATATATATCGTTGATTTGAGAGAAGAATATAAAAATGACCAAAAGACACAATGTGAATTACGGTTCAAGGGAGGTTATAAAAGAGTTTTGAAAGTGTTTTTTTAAAAAAAAACAACCACCATTTGATTACAAAAATATTTTCTCTTATTTGCAATATGTAGAATATCAGATTGAGAAACAAACTCCTGGTTATTATTGGAATATTCACTCTCTTACAGTCTTCAACACATCTAATTTTATGAGTTGGCCTATGTTTTCAGCTTGCCATGATTATTTTTCACAGCATTGTGAGATTGAGCACTCTCGGAGCCAAGGTTGCTGGTAGTAACTGAAAGAAACTGGAAGGCAATACCAAGGAGGCGCTAGGTCCCAGGCCAAATCTTTTATAACCTTGGGTGCCAGTTTGAGAGTGTATTCAGTTAGGGAAATCCTTTGTGCTGAAGATGATTATAATTTCTGTGTATTATGCTAATAAAAGTGTTTCTGGGAATTCGTAAAAACTGTTGGGAGATTTCCAGACCTGCAAAAGCTAAGGATATGGTGAGGTCCAAGCCTATCTCTCTAAAGAGGAAAAGGAAACTCATCTAAGATCTGGGGTAAAACGGGAGTAAAGAGAGACTGAATGAGGTGATATGTCCCTCCCACTTTGATGGTCTTTCCTACTTTCCACCTACAACCATTTGTGACCATTCCATAAGTAAATATATGCCTGGAATTTGATGTTGGAGTATGCTTTCTCTGGCTCAGTTGCCTTGGGCAGCAGAGTGCTTTAGATGGATAACTTTTGCCTAGTTTACTCTGCATTTTATTAAATCCTGGGGCTTTGGTCCCACTTCCTCCCATTTTTATTTGTATACAGTTGGGATCCTCTTTGTTGTGTTATTACATTCAGTGCTGTCCAGGTAGACTGATGTTTAAACACACACACACACACACACACACACACACACACACACACACACAAATTATGTAAGGAAACATGACGACCAGCCCACAAAAGAGATTGATTCTTGTTTTTCTGTATTCCCACCATTCTAAACCAATTATTAGAAGGAAGAGACTTCAGGGGGCACCTGAGTGGCTTAGTTGGTTAAGCGTCCGACTTCAGCTCAGGTCATGATCTCTCAGTTCAAGGTTTTGAGCTCCACATCGGGCTCTGTGCTGAGAGCCTGGAGGCTGCTTCAGATTCTATGTTTCCCTCTCTCTCTCTCTGGCCCTCCCCTGCTTGCATTCTATCTCTCAAAAATAAATGTTTTAAAAAAATTAGAATGGAGAGACATCAGGAACGGGAACTCTCAGGAAATATTAGCTCAACAATCTATGAGAACTGGCAGGTCAGAGAGTGAAGTAGAGTGCAGATTTGGGATTTTATCCAAAAGTCACAGACCATACACTTAGGTGTTGTAGAAGATCCAGGGTAAAATCCCAAAGACTTTGATTCAGGGCCATGGAAAAGCTCACTAAGAGAGTTCAGGCAACCCAAAGGGCATAGTCTCTCAACACTGTTCCTCAGCCACCTTCCCATCCCAAGGGTCTCTGGGCAAGCTCTCCCTTGGGTTAGATGCATAGAGAACAATGCTGAGCCTCGGACACACTAATCAGATACTGGATTTGTCCTCAGGAAGCGACACACTATAAGACAGAGCAGATGTATTCTGAACATCTGAGAATCTGTGCCCCTTTCCAGGGGAGGTCACTGTCTGAAATATCAGTAAAGGACCACATGCACGAACACTTCTTTATTTGAATATGACAAATATCAGTAGAAAGTATTTTTATCTACCTTAAAAATGAATAATATGGAAGCAGCAGAGATCTCAATCAAACCAATGTAGAAAGTCACACATTTCATTAATAATGTTTGTTGCCTCTTTAGAATGAGAAGGGCAATGGGGCACCTGGGTGGCTCAGTTGGTTAAGCGTCGGACTCTTGATTTCGGCTCAAGTCATGATTTCATGGCTGTGAGACCGAGCCCTGCGTCAGGCCCCACGTCAGCCCTGTGTGGAGCCTACTTGGGATTCTTCTCTTTCCGTCTCTCTCTGCCCCTCCCCTGCTTGTGCTCTCTCTCTCTCTCTCTCTTAAAATAAAAACATTTAAAAAAATGAGAAGGGAAAACAATAGGTTCTGACCTCTTGTTTTTTGGTCCTCTAGCAGCAAAGCAGAGGCAGGAAGCAAAGAGGAGGGGCTTTAAAGCACACAGCTCTGCCCCTGGAACCTAGGCTCTCCCCAGTTTAATCTTACTTCTCTTTTCCATAAAGTCCCTGGTCCATAAGTGCTAACAATGTCGCCACCCACAGCTGGTCCTTTTTGAAAAGCAGGAATGCTTAGAGGAGAGACTTACAGCAAGACATCAGAACTTGGGGCACTTGGAATCCAGAGGTGCCTCCGCGGGCAAGCTGGGCCCTGCGTCTTACCCACTGGTAGAGTGTGTGAGATGGAGAAGGAGAGCTATTGTTTTGATAGCAAAATTTTGGGGTGACAACTTTGGACAAATGAACTTCCCTAAGTGTCAGACCATTATTTAAGAGATTCCCCGGTCCATAAACCTCACGGGGGTTTTTATGACCTCCTGGGACAATGTGTGTGAAAGCACTTTAAAATGACAAAGCTCTATACGCGTGTGGACCTTATTATTATTGTCATTGAATCGTTGACCCTGAATCCTCATTCCTGGGTATTAATCTTGAGTCTGTTCTCAATGGGACAATCCTGCTTAGCCACCTACATACTCTTTGCTCCTAGTTTCACTTGAGGCACCCAGGTTCCTACCTTCTCAGTTCAGAGAACTCACCCAAAAGGCACGAATGTGGCACTAGACCTACTTTTTCTTCAGAAAAGATGATTCATCTTTTCCATTGTTATGGGCATCCCTCTTGCTAGCTTCTCTGTAGAATTCCAGAGTCCCAGGGCAGCATGGAGTTGGCATGAGATAGAACCATAGGGAACAGAATCTGAGAGGCAGCCTTGGGGTAAGGGATAAAAAGAGTATCATAAAGTCAGGGATGTGAAGGAATGTGACCTCCCAAGGCCTGCCTGGCAGGCTGTCCCCATTCTCCTCCTGGTGTACCTTTCTACCTCTTAGGTTTTATGACACCACCATAAGCTCCCTTACGAGGACTGTCTTCTGTGCCATGGCTCTGAGAAACAGACAAAGTGCGACTTGGCGAATCACTCACAGAATGAAATATCAAGAGGCCCAGGGGAGAAGCTAGACTAGAAAGATCCCGGATGTCTTCCCAGGACACAATGTGGGCCAAAAGATGAGGCAAATCAACAAGACTGTGAGGACCCACAGTATTGTGAGAGCCCACTCTGCACGGCCCCATCCTGGGAAGCCCCATATCCATACACAAGGAGACAAGTGGCTCCCTTACTGTCACTAGCGTTACCAGAATGCCTCACAGAGGCTTTCTTTCCTTCATCCAGGCCATTGACAGAGCCAAGAAGCCCCTGTTGGGCAGTTATGTGGGCATCAGAGGTGGGGCCCACTCCTCAAAGTTCTTGAGTAAAAACCAACCACTTTAATGTGGCGAAGACCCAACCCTGACTTTTTCTTCCCCATCTACCCATGTTTCAAGAGCTTACTCTACAGCCATGCCTGCAATGCCTTCTGGAGAACACCCTCAAGCAGGCCAGGGAGAAGAGGCAACCACAAAAGATTCAGCCCCTGGCCTGCAGAGCTCTGTTGCCCCTCCCTCACCTGTGAACAAGGGAAGGCCCGATGGCCATGAGGGGCCCCTTCCATTATGCTCACAGGCTTGCAGGGCTCCCTCAGACCAAGGAGGATAGCAAACAGGACAAAAACATCATCAACAGCCAAAGAGAGAGAGGACTCTAGGAGATCCTCACCGGGAGAAGATGAAACAGAGGATGCAGGAATGGAGACCATCCACCTCCAGAAGAGGAGACGGGAGATTAGTGGAGGCTCTTAGGCACAAGAAGCCCCAGTTCATGCACAGGGTCCACTAAAGAATAACAGCAAAAAGAGAATGAGGGATTTCTTTGC